ATTGACCTCGGATGAAATTTCCGCCGTGATGACGTTCGGTCTGCCACATCATATTGCATCGTCTGCAACTTCCTCTGCCCATTGATCCCCGTAACTTCCTCCATTTCATTCTCTCAAGCTCTATCCTAGAACTATATCTAATATTGGCTTACAGATCTTCCTCCTCTTCTAGTAGTCATTTTGGGTCATCGTCGTTCAATTTTATTCTTATCTCATTCAGTAATTCTCACCTTGCCATTATTCCCTGCGGCTCTAATAAACCGGGCCGTTCCTGCATAACAGGAGACAAAGATCTAAGACAGTATCATTTTCTTATGTAATCCACTTTGCTGATAAAAGCTTCAAGCAAGTTGCTAGGATGTTATACGCTTCCCCTCCACGCGTTGCCACAGCTCGTTTCTAGGTTTTTGACCAAAGACTTCCTTGGGATCCAAAAGGCAAAGAACCTTTCATCTTCCCAACCCTTTCAACTTGTCGATTCCAGTGATATTAAACTGACTGGACCTTTACCAGTTCTGAAACTATGTTGATAGCAAGGATATTCCATCACGTTTTTCGCGTTTAGTCTTGTTTCCTTTCTTATATTACTTATTGATTATGAGTAATAAATAGATTAATTGCTTGTCTTCAAGATGGACACTTCTCGCACCCTTGGAATGCTATCTCACACCCCCAAGGGTGCGAGCACCCCTGGTCGGAACACCCTGACGAACATGATTCCAAGAAAGATACATTAAATCTTCGTCAAAACTGCGCGAAGACTTTTTATGAAATCACAACTCTTTCACCGTGAAGATAACTCGTCTATACTTTCTGCATTTGTTGCAATGAATTGAAGTCATATCCTCTGTGTATTGTGAAGTAGAATCTTTATCCTCTGTTTTCTTGCCTCTCTTAAACTTTTCACTCATGTCACTCTGGATTTGACTTTCCTGTCGCTCCTTGATTTTTAAAAATAATTTCCATTAGATATTCATCGTTGATATATTTGTATTTTCTTCAACGGGTATAGCTATCCTATTCATTCAATGGGATTAAGATATTTTCTTAATATTCTTGCTACCGTTCACCCATCTTTACGCCATTCAATAATTCAGCTACACCTGAGTTTTCAGTTACACAATTAGCTCGTGTATTGTGTATTACCGTATTTGTATGTTCACGGCCAAAGGGTACATTAACAGTGCCCTTAATCTTGTTAACATTAGCATTTTAACCAGTACTGGTTTCAAAACAAATTCAATTTCGTTCTTTTCTTCTTCATCTCTGCAAATCCACTAAGCGCCTCCGTGTAGAGTTCTCCAGATTCCGTACAAGACTTCGGAGTTCTCTCTCCTTAAAGAAGCGTAGCGGCACAATATGTGTACCTGGTGGATGTGCTAGAGCCTTTAGGGGGAAGACATTTCCGAGGCACCAGGGAGCAATCTCGGGTTAGGATAGGCAAACCGGGAAGACTATTCTGCCCAAGGAAGCCCTGCCGAACACCAAAGCTAGGATGGATTTAATCGATTGCCAAACCCCAGAAATGCACAAGTACTTCGAAGACGATAGAATGTTTAGAATTGGATCTGTAAATATTAGAACTGAAGCCCAAAAGAAATTGCTGCAGTTGTGATGGGCATCGTCGGCATCAGTGAAACAGGAAAGTGGAGGTTTCATTGTCCCTCGTCCTCATGTCACCCTTGAATCGTAGCCCAGTGAGGATTCTGATAATGACATAATGACGACAATATTCATGTCGCCATTAAGCCTCCTCCTCTTCCCCATCGCCCTCTTGTTCCTATCGTCAACTCGACTCGCAATTTAGTAAAATCTTCTCTATCTATCTATCTATCTATCTATCTATATATATATATATATATATATATATATATATATATATATATATACGTATGTGTGTGTACATATATATACAAACATATTTATATATGTATATATAAATAATGTCCTCTCGTGACCTTGTGGCCAGTCCTTAAAGGGTCTGTGTTACCTTGACTTCATAGACCTGTGAGTTGTATGCTGATCCAGCGCGTGTCAATGCTCACATAATCACAAGATCGAAAGTCATCCAAAAATAAACAGTAAAATTAAAATTGACTGATCCTACGCACAATATTAGATGTGCTGTGAGGCACTCAGATCAGCCCGTGTGTGATCGAGGAATGACCGCGCTCACTGGAGTGATGACCTAGAGAGTCATCACACCGTATTGGGGGAGGGGAGGTAGTCCCCAAATCTATTAAAATGGTTGAGGGCTTGGCACCCTTTTGGTGTGCCATCTTCAAATCCTTGACCTCATTTGCTTCTAATTGCTCAGAGTGGGGGCATGCAGGACGTGCAACATCCACGAGACGCACCACGGAGCCGATACTGTGCTCTTTCTCCTGAAAGGTCATAGTTCGCAGAAAAAAATTCCGAAGGTAGAAATGTTCCTCGGAAATACGTGAACTGTCGACAAGATCGTAATGCTAATTCTTCGCTGTGCGCATATTAACCAAAGGATAGGAAGATTAACAGTAAAAAAAGCAGGTAGCCCAGAAGTCCATCCCAGTCTTGCGCCTTGATGATGTGGGGGAATGCCCACACCTGCAGAGGTCAACAATGATGGCCCATGCAATGCAAGACGTGGCACCGGCCACAGTACCAGCACCAACAGGAGCAGCAGCCCCACCAACTCAAGCGCAAGTACCAGCTCCAGCACCAGCTGCAGCTCCAACCCGAGCACCATCTGCTGCACCAGCTCCAGCATCAGCCGCGACTCAGCCCTCACTGCAGCAGGACAAGCAAGAGACCAGCGGAGAATTAAAGGATCTGCTGCAAATGCTGCTTCGGCAGATGGAGCAGGTGATGTTTGTGATTCAACAACAGACGGTTCAGCAATCTCAACTCCAGGGAGGTCGTTCGCGCTGCTCCTCGATCAGAAACAGCACCAACCTGTAGTGGGCCTTGAAAATGGTCAAGTAATCAACGTCTCCAAATAATCCCTTGAAATGTATTACCTGGAGCATAAATAGTTCGCAGAGACACAAGGCAACTCTCCCAGTACCTTCACTCTGAAAATGTTGATGTGTGTTGCCTCCAGGAAGTCAGAACTAGTGTGCGTCATGCAAAAATTGCGGGACACACATTAGGACAGACCAACTATTGCTAATCCCTCTACAAGAGGACTTGGCATTTACATAAAGAAAATTCCATCGAAAGTGATTGATGGCAATCGTGACAACACGTGTTTAACATCCTGGCATTAAAACATTTCTTTATGGTAAATCTGTCACCATCATTAATGTAAACAATCCTCATGACATCCTCTACTAAGCACTGAGGGAAGCACGATAGGCAAAACCGATAAAGTCTATTATGGCTATCTCCAAAATACTAGTGATCCCATACACTTATGTCCCTCACAAAAGATGCATTTTCTGGGCGGCAAATTAGACTATATAGCTCTATACAATCAGCACACACTATCAAGCACTGCGAAAGTCATTCCATTTTTGGTGATCATTGTGCAGTGAGTATAACCCTTCCATTTTGTTACAGGAGCCCACCCCAGACACGTCTTCGATACCACCTTGCTGCTAATCATGATAATTTTAATGAGACTGCCAAGTTGGCAACTTAATTACTCAACCAGGCCCCAAAAGCTATGCAAAGCGCCCAAGTCGCATAATCTTGCCCATTACTTACTTTGTTGCACGAAAACTGTATCCTATCAATCATGTAGTACTGACCACTGATTAGCACTTATCAAATTAAGTTTATCATAGACTCTGGTCTTACATGATTAGTGATATATAAGTTTTTTCACCATCTAAATGATATACTAATAATGCAGTGAGGATGGTAAAGCCCTTCAGGCATGTATATAAACACTAATGTTTGACTGATAGCCTCTCTACATGAATAGAAGCACACCTGTTCGGATAGATGCTTTTGTATCTTACCCTGGCTTTTTGCAGGACATGTAGACTGTTCTGTAAATAAATAATATCAAATCAGATCTCTCTCTCTCTCTCTCTCTCTCGCGTGTATTAGACTGTCCTCGGTGGCGTTATTGATATCTGTTGTAAAACTGACATTTTACAGAGCCATTCGGACAGCGGATGGAAAAACTGAAGAGATGGAGTCACTCAGCATGGCTGTCGTTTACTATGACGTCAGAGCACCACCACCAATGATGTCAGAGCGAAGATATCAATGACGTCACATAATGTCTGTTGCCAGGTGCTGCATGAAAACTATTTCTTGCGGAAAAAAATCTTTATCTTTCTTTTGTATAAGCTTTGTTGTGAGGGTGTGGCTGTTTAACGATAAAAGTACTGCATGTGCAAGAAATGTTAACGGTTTCGACTAAATATACATAAAGTACAGGTTCTCTCTTTGAACTAAATCTAAGTAACACAGTATAAATGAATTTTCATACATATCACTTATGTCAGAATGAAATTTTGTAACATCTAAGTCTCTTTCTTTCTCTCTCTCTTTCCCTCTCCTTAAACTCTCTTTGTCTCTCTCTCTCTCTCTCTCTCTCTCTCTCTCTCTCTCTCTCTCTCTCTCTCTCTCTCTCTCTCTCTCTCTTTCCTCCTCTTTTTTCTAGATCCCCAAGGCAGATTTCGAGCATATCATACTACTTTTGAGAATACTGAATGCAGTTCCTTTGTGTAAATGGTCCGCTTTGATCCTTTCATGATCCTTCGAGAAAGGAGTGATTTCCTGGATTTCCGTTGATAAATCTTCTTTGTGTTCCTCTGCATTTGCCATTACTTTCGCAGGAACTGGGGCGGCTGAGAGTGGAGGTGGCTGCTCTCTCGGAGTTGAAAAGACCTGGCAGCGGCGTTATATAAATATATATATATATATATATATATATATATATATATATATATATATATATATATACACACACACACACACACAGACACAGACACGAAAGACAAAGACACAGACACACACACACACACACACACACACACACACACACACACACACACACACACACA